ATAATCTCCTATGAAAATAATGTATCTTTTACAAAAGGAACTTTATAAGGAGCTGTGTATGTCAGAAAGTTGATTGATGGGTTAGTGGATATTTAGAGGAGTTTAGGGTCCCTTCATTTTTCTTATAGTTGATCACTCAAGGGGAAGTCGATTCCTGCATAGGAAACACCCGCTAGAGCGTCGGAGTTTGTTGCTCTGGTGTGTCCTCTGACGTTCAAGCCAGTAATAGATTAAGCAAGTTTGCATAATCTAGTTTCAGTGAGTTATTTTGTAGTTTTTTGTACCTTCGAATAGCGAAGATTGTATTTATAGAGGGTTGGTAGAGACACATCAGTAATTTGACCGGATCAGTGCAGTCATTAGTACAGTCGACTGATTAGACCGCACTTTACACGTGCTAGCAACTGGTTAAATGAGTCACCTTCGGGATTAATACGATAGTGACAGAATAGGCTGAAGCGTTAACGACATGGTCCAAGGAACCTTAAATCTCGGCCCAAAAGAGTCACTAAACATTAAATGCAATGGTGATTGAGCGGCAAAGTATGACTATTGAAGCTAACAAGTTGTCTCGTTATTCGAGACATTCTCTAGTGATGGTCCAAGTAGAAAATGCATTTTATCTCAGGCCCGACCTTTTTTTAGCGTACCTTAACTTGAAGATGTCTTTCATCTTGGACTTAGGCTGAAGGGGCGGCGATGCTCACACTCGGGTCTGGCTTTTGGATTATTAGGATACGACCGATTAATTATGACACACAGTAGACTCTTCAAAGCTCATTAAACTTTTGTAATTGGCAGGATACAATAGGTTCAAACTTTAAAAATAAATAAAATGGCTATTTGCACTTAAATACCCTGAAGTTTACTCCATTTTTAATTTTGTGATATCCCAAAGTTCTTTTTTACCCAAATACCACCCCAAACTTTACCTCAATTCAAACTTTGAACCCCATAGATCTCTTTGCCTGTAAATTGTCACGAAGATCAACAATATTTAACTGTAATACTTTAAGCACCAGAAAAATTTGTAACTTTAACACCTCAAACTTTAACAAAAATTTAACGTTGAAGGTACTAAAGTTAAATTTTGTTAATGCTGAACTTTAGGGTATTTTTGGGGCAAAAATTGTGGGATCAAGTTAAATTTTTTTAAATTTTTTGGTTTTTGTGCCAAAAGAAACTTTGAGGTTACAGTTAAAGTTAAGGTAAATTTTGGAGATTTAATTGCACATAACTCCTCTTATAAAAGGGAACATGAAAGATTTGTTGCTGTACGGTGTTGTGCAAGCATTACAGAAATTATGGGTAAGAAGGTCAAACTGTCCATACCTATTGCCAAATAAAAATGTGAGATACGTGACGTAATATGGGGGCAAGTGGCCATCCACAGTCACATTAAGCAACTGCCGCTAATAATCCTCATCCACAAAATTAAATTTGGTCGGTATAATCTTAGTCTAAAAGTTAGTTTTTAGTTTGACAATATTTGGACTAAGGGGCTATTTGGTTCGTTTTTTAACTCGGTGGAAAAGTTTTACACCGTCTCCACATCAAATTTTTCGTAGTCACGTAGGATATAAGCTTTCCGTTGGTTTTTTTTCTCTCTTTGGTTCGCTAGGGTTGAAGAAGGGAAACTCGGTGAAAATCGTCGCCACATCAGATTTTTTTTCTCTTCCTCAATTCTTTCCTCAAGCTCATGAAATCAACGAAAACTGCAGCCACGTCAGCTTTTTGCCATATAAACAAAAGTTTTTCCTTTTTTTCCATGCGAACCAAACACAAGAAAAATAAATACATTGGTTTCCCACCATTTTTTTGTGTGAACCAAAGCGAAACAATCTATTTCTTGAAAAAGTTTGAAAAACTCAAAACTTGTGTTTTTGTACATGAAAATGTATTTCCCTATATCTAGAAACGAACCAAACAGCCGCTAAAAATAAACTAGTTTTTTTTAGCTTAAACTAGCTGAGATGCACGTGCAATGCACATGGTTGAATATCATGATTATTTAAATTGATAACAATAGAGTAAAAATAAAAAAATAAAGTTTTTTTGTGGGATTGATCATCAACTCAATAATCTCTCTCTTAAATAAAATATTATCATTATTTTCTTCAACCAAGACTATGACCACGTGATCTACTATTTGTGAGTTATAAACACATTAATCTAATACAACACATCTATTTATTAGTATCTTGAAGTCTTCAAAAGATGAGTGATCATTCAATTCGTAAAAGAATTTTGCATATGAATTTACTTGTAATATGCCCATTAAACTTTTAGTTGTTGTTTGACTCATATTCACATTAACTTTTAGTTATTCTTTCACTCATATTTATATTATCTAATATTCTCATTCAATTTTATAGTTCATTCTCTGTATCATAGAAGTAAAACTGAAAGTATGAAGACTTATTTTCTTACGAAATTAACAGGAAAATTATGATATATTTCGCTATGTGCTCTAAATATATTTTTTTTCTTTGATACAAGGTCTCTATCAGATCTTACCCTAAACGATGTGAATAAAAATGTTATTATAACTCACTTACCTAGGAAAATTGTATTGTATATAGGTTACATAATCTGAAATATCCACATCTGCTAAGTGGATTTTGTTGTTGTGAGAGCAATATGTTAGAGGCTCGTATTCAATTTTTTTAACTCTATAAAAGACACAAGAATTTGGAGTGCATAGCTTATATATCGTAACGAACATATTGATTCATGAATAATTTTTCCTAATAACGATATTATCACAACGATATTACTATATATGATATTTTTAAATAAATTATAAAGTATATATATGGAAACCTTAATGCTTATAGTCAGTAGTTGGGTTCCACAAAATATGTTAACTTTACATTGTAGTTTCTTGTTTGTAGTATTATTTGTTGGAAGCTTTGTTCATGAAAAGGCAATTTTGCCTTTGTGAATAGTCCCACGTACATTGGAAAATGATATGAATAGTAAAGGCTATATAATGGTTCTCTCTTTATTGGGCTTTGAATAGTGTTTTGGGTTTTGTGGGCTTTTCATTTCTACCACACACGCGCGTGTGCACGCACGCCACGCCCCGCCCGCACGCCACGCCGCACACACACACCTTTTTGCTTCTCAAGCTTTTATTTTTGCACGTTTTACACCTAGCGCGTGCGTAACGGTCTCTTGGATTCAGCGGGGGTTACACCTCTCCTCACCTATATAAGCAGGCTTGGAGCTCATTCAGAAGTACACCAACGAAGAGAAGAACTTCTAAGCTCTCTTCTTTCTCTACTCTCATTCCTCCAAGAAATTTCGGCTACATATTCTACATATTTTATATTTCTATTTTTGGGCAACCGTTTCGTCTGAGCATAAGCTCTGTGACTCACGCCCGAGTGCAGAGGCCGGCCGATTCTGGGGGTTTTTACCGCTAGGGAAGAGGGACCAAATTACGCCAGGACGATAGGCGGGTCCTTAATCTTCTAGGGCAGTGATATCACGACTGCTCCCGATCAGGCCTGAATTTTCTAATTCTTTAATTTGTTTTTATATTATTATATTCCTGTTTTGACAGCAATCTAGAAGATTAAGGAAAAATTCTTGCTGTTAAGTTAATTAGTTTTAAAAAAAATTTAAAAAAATTACTGTTCATCAGGATTACTGTTCACCCGAATCTTCATTGTAATTACTTGTTGTATTAGTTAATTGTTTTAATTTGTGGCATCTAAATTAGTTTTTAAAAAAATTATATTTATTTCTTTGCTGCTTCTGTACTCAATTTTTGCATCTGTCACTTTTCATATATATATAGTAAAGAAACAAAAAATCTTTAAGTGAACTGGTTCAAGTATTCTTGGATTAGTTGGTGTCTAAGGCAAGGTTTAAGGGTTGCGTCAAGCGCTCTGCAAGAAACGGGGTACTTAATAGATCTTTGATCAACCTGTAGTA